AACACATCCTTGTATTGGACAGATTCTCTTTAAGAAAATATACTTATTAGTGGTAATGTGACAAATGTTTCAGATGTAGTAATTCGCTCTAAAATCCAAAATAATATTGCAATTCAAGTTTCAAGGCTTTTATTGTCATGTGTACGTAACTACAGTGTAGATATGACAATAGAAATAGTGCAGAATAGTCTATATACAACAACTGTCAAAATAATCAGAATAAGCTATTGGCTCCAAACCGTGCGGCCCTATTTCTTCGTCCTGCCGTGCCACATTTGGAAATGGTCGAACTCTACAGAGTATCGTTGAAGGTATTACTTTGTTAATGATGAACCCCTCGATACAGACTCACCTGAGCTGTGTTCCCTCGCAGGTAAACGGCCAGCGGACGACATGGAGGAAGAGCACGTCTTCAAACGTTCTCGCAACGCAGACGAGATGGTGGAGCTGCGAGTTCTTCTGCAGAGCAAAGTAAACACCGTTAACATGCACACTTGGATATGTATGTGTTGGACTGTTTACCTCCATTGATCAAAGTAGAGAGGCACTGCTTTGCATTTTCTTTGCCTTTTCCCCAATTTGTGAATGATTTTCTTTCTAAGAACTGTAGTTGGCATCGTACACAAACATTTTATATAATGGAAAATGTATTGTATGTTCATATATACCAGCACTTTGGCTCGACCAAGAATCGTTTAAAAAAAATGTGCTATATCAATAAAACTTGATTTGATTTGATATATGAGAAGAATCAGAGAGAAAATATGGTATTCTTACAAAGAGTCATTTATTACTTATCTATCTAGCACTAATTTACTTATAAAATCCTATTTAGCTTCTTATGTTTGTACAACTATCTTAATTCTATATTTTTATTGTTTGATTTTATTTCATTCTCAAATGTAGCATCTGTTAGAAAAATACCTATTTCCCCCAAAATAAATAAAGTACTTGTGTGTTCTTCATTAACCCTGAAGATCTAACTGTGTGTGTGTGTGTGTGTGTGTGTGTGTGTGTGTGTGTGTGTGTGTGTGTGTGTGTGTGTGTGTTGCACAATCTGAAAACACTTTCTTTTCACCTACAGAATGCTGGTGCTGTTATCGGAAAGGGTGGCAAGAACATAAAAGCCCTGCGCACTGACGTGAGTAAACGGATGATATTCAGAAAAAATATATATTATAATATTTTGCAGCTGAGGAGCAAATTTAAAAGGCTACATTAATATAATCCAGACCTAAATTCTATTTAAAGAGGCCATATTAAGCTTTTTTTGGAGGTTCTCCCTCCCGTGTAGTGTGTCCTATAGGTTTTTATAGGTTGTAAATAGTCTCCAAAGCCTGAAATCCAAAAAGCTCTGGAACAAGTGACATCACTAAGGAACACTTGTGCTTCTATTGGCTAGCGCTCCAACACATTGTACGTGATAAGGGACGGGACATCTCTAAGCGGTCGACCAATCACAATAGAGCCGGCCAACTAACCAATCAGAGCAGACTGGGCTCTGGTTTCAGACAGAGGGTGAAAAGAGGTGCAGCAGTATGAGAAAAATAAAGACGTGTCACAGTAGAGACACAACATACTGATACCTGAACATCAGCAGGAGAGGACTCTTTAAAGTAGAGACACTACATACTGATATACACCTGAACATCAGCAGGAGAGGACTCTTTAAAGTAGAGACACTGCATACTGATATACACCTGAACATCAGAAGGAGAGGACTCTTTAAAGTAGAGACACTGCATACTGATATACACCTGAACATCAGCAGGAGAGGACTCTTTAAAGTAGAGACACTGCATACTGATATACAACTGAACATCAGCAGGAGAGGACTCTTTAAAGTAGAGACACTACATACTGATATACACCTGAACATCAGCAGGAGAGGACTCTTTAAAGTAGAGACACTACATACTGATATACACCTGAACATCAGCAGGAGAGGACTCTTTAAAGTAGAGACACTACATACTGATATACACCTGAACATCAGCAGGAGAGGACTCTTTAAAGTAGAGACACTACATACTGATATACACCTGAACATCAGAAGGAGAGGACTCTTTAAAGTAGAGACACTACATACTGATATACACCTGAACATCAGAAGGAGAGGACTCTTTAAAGTAGAGACACTACATACTGATATACACCTGAAAGTGAGTATTATGTCCGCTCTAATGATAAAAACTAGCAGGCTCATTTGTTCCCAGTCCTCTTGTGATCCAGTTCCCCTCGAAGGTTCCTCAAAGCCTGAGTCTCAGGGCTTTAAATCTCCAAACTATTGTTTAAATCGTGTCCAATCGTGTCACACTTCCTGTTCCTTCTTCACTCACCACAGTTTTTCACTATTGGGACACAAAGTAAAGCTTGTATTCAATTAAAAATGTATTCCTTCTCCCCCTCTTCCCCCCCCCTTCTCCTGTACTTTTTTTGTTTTGCTTTTATTTTCGGCCAACCTTCCTCTCCGTTGTCCATGTACTGGATCGACATGCCCCACCCACTGACGTTGGCCCCGCCCATAAACCGTGCCCCTAAATGTGATTGAAAACCCCCGCCCAATGCCAACCTCCTCCACCACAACCACCACCACAACCTCCACCTCCTCCTCCTCCTCCACCTCCACCTGCAGTTCAATGCCAGTGTTTCAGTCCCAGACAGCAGTGGCCCAGAGCGGTATGTCCCACCAGTTATTGCCTCACTGCCTGATTAGAACAGAGAAAAAAAACATGTCTTTTGATAACTTCTGTTTCATATTTTATACACATGACGGTTTACTTCCCCATTCCTTACCCCTAAACTACCCCCCTTTCTTCACTTTGTAAGAGACGTGTGTTGTTTTTCCTTTTGACTTCTCTGTCCATCATTAAGCATCTTCATCGAGTTTGACTTTGTTTATTGACCATGCAGAGAATCACTGACGACCAACTAGGGCTGCACAATATATCGCATCAGAAAATGTACTCAAACACATCATGCTACAAGTTTTTCCGTGACTTATTTATGCAACTATTTCAAGATGAATCAATAAGTAAGGAATTAATCTGATGTCCAGTGCTCTGTCTTTTAACCTCTTTCCTTCTGTCCCTCAATCCTCTGCAGCAACAGTCATTATTATGCTTAGTAGCGGTGTGTTATTGAGTATTAACAACCTCCGAGAAAATCAGAATAGAGTATTCCACTTCGTCGTGTAATAAGTAAGGGATAATGTGCAGCGAGGCGGTCATTAATATCCACAGCTGATGTTAAATTGACCTGCTGATTTATATGACTGTAAATAGTCACTTGATCCTCCTGAGCAACGGTCTGTTATCCTTAGCAACGGTCTGTTATCCTTAGTAACATTCTGTTATCCTTAGCAACGGTCTGTTATCCTTAGTAACATTCTGTTATCCTTAGTAACGGTCTGTTATCCTTAGTAATGGTCTGTTATCCTTAGTAACATTCTGTCATCCTTAGTAACGGTCTATTATCCTTAGCAACGGTCTGTTATCCTTAGTAACATTCTGTTATCCTTAGCAACGGTGTGTTATCCTTAGTAACGGTCTGTTATCCTTAGCATCGGTCTGTTATCCTTAGTAACATTCTGTTATCCTTAGTAACGGTCTGTTATCCTTAGTAACAATCTATTATCCTTAGCAACGGTCTGTTATCCTTAGTAACGGTCTGTTATCCTTAGCATCGGTCTGTTATCCTTAGTAACATTCTGTTATCCTTAGTAACGGTCTGTTATCTTTAGCATCGGTCTATTATTGAGTATTAACCTCTGAAATGGACCAATAACAATCCGGTATTCAACTTCGCCGTGTGATAATATTTTTTTAAATGTCCTATTGAAAATATGGTGCTTGTCAGACTTAATAGATCAGAAATAAATATCATTATGTAGAATATTAATTTCACTATCTAATGCACACGGACACAGTAGCATTAGAAGCCTTTCTTTGGTTTTGCAGTTACACGCTAACAAGCATAGCTATTGAACGCAGTGAAAAAAAGTCTGCAAGCTTGTAATCGTGGATGTATAGAATGCAAGATTCAAAATATTTGCAAATACTTTATGAGAAAGATCCTGCATTCACGATGATTCTACTGTGGTATTACCCAATATAACCATCACAACATTTTCTTATGATTTAAGTAAAAATAAGCTTTTAGTACTGCTTTCACAGATCGATGAGTTGATAATCTAGCCTACAACCTTTAGGGCGACAGTCCTGCATTTTTTTTTATATCGCAAGAAAAAGTGTCTTTCCTGTATCGTGCAGCCCTACAACAAACTACCTACTGGGAGTTGGCATCATGTTGGTTAGCGTCACAAATGTCCCTTCCAGTGATGTTTTTATTTCACCATAAACTTGTAGAAACTCTCGCTCTGTCCTCTGTGGCCCACTTTGCCCACTTCCTCCCCCCTTTCTCCCCCAATGTTGTCAACGTCACTGTCAATGATTTCTGCGAGAGGCTCCGCCCACTTTTCTGTCACTCATCATTAATGTCTTCTTCTTTATATCATTGTGCTGCATCCCTTATGTCAAATTTCTCCCAGGAAACATCCGATCAGAGCTCCATACCCTCCCCCGACCCCAAACTACACCCCTCTGCTCTTTTACTCTCTTCTTCTGCCCCCCCCCACCCTTATCCCAACCCCTGATCAATATAAGAAGACGTGCTGGTGGTGAAATCGTGTTTTCAAAAGCTTTTGTTTGATTCCCCAACTTCCTTGTGGTGGGATTGTTATAGAAGACCCTCCTCTCTCTCTCTCTCTCTTA